GTTCCATTTGTACATCTAACCAGACTACAACTGGTTAGCTTGGTACATATACAAGCATCTTTATTATTGTTAAGAGGTATTCTTTTTTTCAGAAAGCAATGTGGTAATTTAAGCATTTTCATTATAGAAAGCAGATTTTTAGCACGTTAATAACTTTGTTTACTTTTAATTTTTAGAAGTGGGAGAAGTTTTTGCTCTATAGTCCAGGTTAGTTCCATACTCTTTTTTTAAGGATATTTTTTACTTGATATTTTATTTATTTACAATACAGATGTCAGCCATTTCCCCACTTCCCCTCCCTAGTCCCATACTCTTAACCCTCTTGTCCAGATTCTCAAGGACAGAGATGACAGGCATTTGCCATCACAGCCAGACTTTGTGTGTTTTGAGCTGCTCTTCTATAAACTTCTTTCTGTTATTTTTAGACATCTGTCTCTCTTGTTCTAAAGCCTGCTTGTTCAAGAATCTTCTACTGAATGCTTGAAATATTATATGAAATCACATCTGAAAGAATAGAGAAAATCGTTCTGAAAATAAATTTCCTTTGAGAGATGTATTTGGTGTATAATAGGACACTTACATACTATACATATATATGTGTGTGTGTAGTACAATTTATGCCAATGGTGGCCAACATATATGATGATGGTCCCCAAATTATAATGAGACTTAAGAATTCCTACCACCTAATGACATCACAGCTACACTGACATACCCGGAGGGCACTTTAGTCATGTTTTTGCTGATTCTGGTTTAAACAAACCTACTGCACTGCTAATCATATGAAAATATATTAAGATTATGTACATTTTATAAATGATAATAATGGATTACCTTACTTATATAAGAATTCAGTGTATTTCTTGTAGTCATGCTAGAGTATATTTTTTTCTAGTAAACAAGTTCATACTTGACAATAGAGCAAATCAGCATCAACCTCAGACATCTCACTGTCTCAAATATCAAGGAGACATCCTTACATGATTTTATGGCTGTATATTAAGCTATAATTCAATATAGACCTGTATAATGTGAACCTACTGAGATTGATAGAAAACATCCTACTTAAAACATCCAAATGCCTTGAACTATGTGTCCTTTCTGATGGAGAGCAGAGTCAACCAGGGAAACTCCAGTTTCAGGCATAGAAGAAACACAAGCAATATGAGAAGTTGAATTTCTACTCACACAGTAGAAGACATGGGACATTCTTAGATTTAACTTCATGCTTCCAAGTTAGTTTTATAAAAAAAAAAGTTTGACTTACTAGATGTATAAATACACAGGAAAATGCCTTTTACGAACCTTATTAGAATGTTCCCAGATATTAGTTAAAGCAAATAAACATTTTATCATTTTTTTATTGATGTAGACTGCTTTAAAAAGGAATTCCTGTCTTTTCTTCTGGAAAAGTTGAAAAATGTTTCATTTCTTATCAGTGTCAGGTCTGTGGCTCATAGTAAAGTGCCCTTCCTAAATGACCTTCCCAATCCATGCCCTTCTATGTGGTCCTGAACTGTAGAGAGGTCACTTTAAAATTCATACTTTATTGATAAGAGATTAAATACCTCATACAGTATGCATGTCTGCATTGATTCAGACACTAAATTTAGATTCCAGATCAATGTTGATCTGAAACGGTAGCAAATCTTCTGTATGTTTGTTGAGGCTTGTCTTACAGTAAACATGAAGTTTGTATGAGGGTCAGGATGGACAGCTGTGTGAAAGGATCTATATATGGTCAAAATTATAATTAGACAATAACTCAAGCTATGGGGAAAGGACGCTGAATGTATGATTGGACAAAACAAAACTATATAATTATTTAAAATGGTTATACATTTTATAAAATTAAGAACCATGGTACTACCTGTTTCATGGAAATATACTCTGGCTACAGGCTTCAGGGAGCATCTGGAAGTATTCTTCTCTTTAGGCTCCTTCCTGACCTTATTTCCTGAAACCAGGTATTCTTTCTATGAGAACAAAGACTTTGAATGTTTTGGGTGTGGCTAGGTGTTCAAGGATTGGTCCCCAACTAATGACTTTATTGATATGAATGAAGTATGGAAACACCATCATCATCAATGGGATCAACCATTAATAATTTCAGAGGTGAAACCTGCTTAGGAGTCCAGGCATAGCACAGAGAAGTAGGTGTGCCTTTGAAGGCCATGCCACACCCCTGAACACTTCTTGTTCCTTCTGTCTGCTTTTGAACTACCACTAGGTACAAAGCTCTATGCCACTGTATGCTATACTATGGGACCTTCTCCTTACAGGCATGCAGTGAGACAGCCAAGTTTCCATATACTAAGAACCCTGAAACTGTGATACCAATAAATCTCTTCTTAACTTAATATGTCAGTCACAGTGAGAAACATATCCCCTCACACATACACACACACACACACACACACACACACACACACACACAGAGAGAGAGAGAGAGAGAGAGAGAGAGACTATGATCTATCCAAATGTTCTAGGTTTACATATAATGTTAAAATGCCTTACAAACATTGGAGAAATCAACTTAGAAATTTTTAATTATATTGTAAGGTCAATAAGCCTGGGTTTCAAACCTGTTGTGGCTTTTTTACAGCCAAGCATTACTATGCTAATGTCCAAAAATGTCCAATGATATTTACAGATAGCTATCTTTACATTCAGAAATATACAACCCCACATTGTTATTATTAAAATATATCTGCAAATTTATTTATGTTATTATTTGATTCAAAGTTATCCCATATCTTGTAAAATATTGGTTTCTGGATGCCTTAACCATCATGAAACTTTCAATTTCCATTTTATTAGAATGCAAGGTAAATGCTACAATTTAAATTATACTTGATGTTTATTGACTTAAATTACTGCAAAGGGCAGCTACATTCCCTATAATCTAGAGTTTTCAAAACTTAAAAAGTCATAAGTTCAGGAAGGTTCATATTCAAAGCCAGTAAAGGTCCAGGAAAGATCAAAAGTTGTGAGGCAAAACAGGAAACTGATAAAATGCATGATTAAAGGTTTATAAACCTATATTTTGTGGGGTTCTAGTCTTACAAAAAGTACAACTATGTTTAAATTTTTAAAAGTTAGGAAAATACATTTGAATAACATTAATAATAAGATCCTTTTTTCTCCTTTCACATATTTCTAAAAGAAATAAATTGTTTTCAAATAAAAAATCAGCGGCAGAGACACTAACTTTATATTAGGATAATCTGAGACTATATAAAACACTTTATATTATAAGCATTTGTCTTAGAGCTAAGATTAAATATTCACAAAAGATTCCAGTCAAATTTTTTATTAAATTGTGTTTAGTAATATTTATCAGTAATAAAATGACTATGCGGTATGTTTAAGATATGTACCTAGTTGCCATTAGTGATTACTCAGGAACAAAATTTAAGGATAATTCCATTTGACATATTCAATATGTAATCTATAACCATATTTTTGGAAAAAGAATTAGTAATAATACAAACATCAATTTAATGGTAGGAACTCACTATATTTGTAGGGGAAATTCTTGCAATTTTGATGGGAGTTAAAATAGTTCTATATTCTTTTTCTTACCCTCTTATTTGTAAATATTTAATAATTGGGTCTATGATATATTTATTTCTTTTCAAATATAATTTAGTAGAACAATAAGTTCAAGCTACTTAAATAAACAAAAAAGAGAGACTATTTCAAAAACAGAGACAAGAAGTTGTAATTCATCATCAAGTGAAACAAAAATTTTGCCATATACAAATTATCCTATTACCTGGAGCAAAATGTAGATTTTGCTCTAATTCTATGTAAGTTCAGAAACACATACACAGAGAGACACAGACACACACACACACACACACACACCTCACACACACACAGAGTCTAAGACACTGCAAACAACATATTTATTTTTATAAATAGTAAAAGCTGAGAAGGTTAACTGTATCTGAGTGAGAGAGACAAGCCTGCATGATCACCGGCAGCATGGCCTAGGAGGGATGTCACTTAAGAACTGGTCTTACCTGTTGCATACAAAGTTGAGGATATTGGATTATGTTTGCCCTTTATTTTGCAAATATTATTTTCTGAGTTGTTTAGCTGTAATTTGTCCTCTCTTTAAATAAAGCATGCTTCACTTTTATACCTTCACATTTTTTAATGATTATAAAATTAATAAAACATAAGTTAGAGTTGGCAATACAAGGACATAGACCCTATAAAATTATAAGCAAATAACCCCTTGAAAAAAAATCCAGTTTCTGTAGTATACAGGAAAAAAGAAAGAAATGTAAAATATTAGGTATTTTCTCCCAACATACACAAAACAAAGTTCAAGACCATGATACAGTATTCATTTGTCTGAGCTAATACCACAGGTCATCATTCTTAATTTTCAATAAGGCATAGGCATTCCTGACTTCCTGAAGGACATAAATACAATCATGTACTTAAGCTATTTAAATTAAACTCTTGCTATGCAAGTTTTCCTTACATAGATTGGATTTTATTTGTTTATTTTCACATGACACCTATACTTATTTCATATCAATAAATCATTCTTCTCATACACTGAATTTAATGTCAGAGACATTATTTCAAATGTCACCTATGTGTCTCCTCATGCACACATTTAAATAACTGCTATTTTTGATGCCATTTGTTTTCTGCATATATGATATTTTAGAAGTCTTCATTGATATGTACCACATCTGTATATTAACACTTTGTGGGGAGGAACTTTCCAGCACATCACAAAAATAATTAGAGAAAAAAATAATAAATATGGCTTTTAATCAATGAGAACATATTCAAGCACTGTGTTTAACCCTTCTGCAATTAATCAAAGCAAAACCAGGGCATGTATAGAGTAGAGGGACCTTTTAATTTCCCAGATAAATTTGGGCAGCAATAGGCAATGGCGATAAGCATTTAAAATGTTACAGCGATATATTTTGAAAGGCATAGTGTAAACTCATCTCCAATCACTGACTTACCCAAGACCGTGAGCTCTGCAGAGGCACTAATATTCTCATTCTTGTATGTGACAACGCAAGTATAGGCTCCACTGTCATCATCTGTCACATTAGAGATGAGCAAATTGCTTCCACCCAACAATGAATACTTTTTAGACCTGTAACACAGAGGCCACGAGAAATAAGAGGGCCCGTTAACGTATTTGAACATCAGTCTGGAACTCAGAAGTGCTGATGAATTTCATAAAGGCTCACATTATAGAACCGAAGAAGATAAAATCCCTGTGTCATTGAGGTTTTATAGTAGCTCACTTTTTGAACTAGTATTAATTCAAGGTAAACTCCCATGGGGAGTTTCCATGTATTAATTCAGAGATGGGGTAGATTAAATATAATAGAGTATTAAAAAGAAATTTCCAAATAATCTAGTCTGATTTTGATTCTATTACTTTAAATTTTAGGGCTTCAAAGCCAAAGAATGATTCCCAAGAGTATAAGTCAATGTCTTCTACTCAGACATATAACTCAGCCACCATTTAAAATAATCTATAAATCCATAGATATAAAAATATTTTTAAACCTATAGATAAAAATATCTATGCAGACTTTACAATGAGATGTGATACTTTAAACTTAAAAATACTTTTATTCTACCTTCACCATTAATAAAATACAATGGTCAATGAAAAATTGTTTATATCTATGATATACCATGGGGTATATCATTTCAGCTGAACGAAGAGAATCTGGTGTATCAAAATGAGGCAGCAACTAGATTTCCTGCATTCCTGATGATGCCATGTGTGTGTGTGTGTGTGTGTGTGTGTGTGTGTAACTGTTGCCTAATATTTACTTAAATTGGACAAAATTTAACCAATAATTTATGATTAATGTATATATCTAATCATGGAGAGTAAATGTATTAAAAGAGGTGTACTAGTCATTCTAATCGATGAACCTATTTTCTTAAGTGAGATCCATTTAATCAACATGTTTACATTCTACTATGGCCTTGCATTCTAATTCTCCCTTATTATTAATCTTGAGATAATTGAATGTGAGCCATGTTCTCCAGCATTATCTTATATTTATAATAATTGGGATAATGAGAGGCACACTTAGAACTAAAATATCTATGCAGACTTTGCAATGAAATGTGATACTTTAAACTGAAGAAGGACTTTCTTCTAATTTATTTATTTATTTATTTATTTATTTATTTATTTTTACCTTCACCATTAGTGAAACATAATGGACAATGAAAATTGCTTATATCTATGATATACCATGGGGTGGATTTATATATGAAGTGCAAATGTGTACATGTAGTATGAAATGATTGCCTTGTCAAGCTTAGTATATGTGTGTGCGCATTGTTTTATGAACATACAAGATCTACCTTCTCCTTATCATATTCCTGCAAATCACATCATCTGAATGTCCTTGCATCTCAATATCAATCTAATTTTTCAGTTTCCCTTCAGACCTGATCCTGTGGGTTTTTACTTCTTTCCTCATACTCTGATCCCAATGGTTAAATATCTTTCATACATTAATCATGACAAAGATTTTGAGAACAAATCTAATTATTTTAAGAAAATTGGACCAATTTGAGAGTCAGAAGCAATATTATATACTTTTCAAGGGCCCAGGTGGGTAATACCTGAGTTGGATGACCTCCTCGCCTCGTAACCAGGTGAAACTTGGCGGAGGATAGCCAGAAACACAGCACTCCAGGACAGCATCTTTTCCTTCAATAGCAATTACGTTGGACGGTCTCTGCAGAAAATACAGCTGCCTATGGAGGCCTGGGTCTGTGGAAAGAAAACACAGGATCATATAATCTCATTAATTTTTTTAGCTCAACTCATATATTTACATCACTAATATGATGTAAAATAATGAAGACTAGCCAGCCATAGTAGCTCTCAACTTTGATCCTAGCATCTGGAGGCAGAGCCTGGTATATTTCTGTGAGTTTGGGGCCCACCTATTCTACATTGTGAATTCCTGAAGATCCAGAGAGGGATCATTATCTGGGCAAGGACTGAAGGAGCAACTCCGTAGGAAGAACAACATTATCAACCAACCAGACTCTCCCCCCACCCCTCTACCCCGTCCTGCTCCACAAGCTTTCAGGGACTAAACTACCAACCAAAGAATACACATGTGGGGAACCACAGCTCCAGCTGCATATATAGCAGACGATGGCATTGTCGGGCATCAACGGGAGGAGAGGCCCTTGGTCTTGTGAAGGCTCGATGCCCCAGTGTAGAGGAATGCTAGGGTATTGAGGCAGGAGAGGGTGGGTGGATGGGGAAAACACACTCATAGAGGCAGGGGGAGGGAATAGTGAGTTTGTAGAGGGGAAACTGGGAGGGGCATAACATTTACAATGTAAATAAATAAAATTAAAGAAGAAGAATGGATAAAAAGAAAAAAATCATATCTGAGAATAAAATTAGAAAAGTTGACACATGCAAAGAAACCTGAAGATAAAATCTCAAAACATTTTCTCCACTTTCAAATTGTAGTCTATTCCTGGCTACTAAGTAATCAAAGTATAAATCAAATGGCATAATGTAGATGCTGCAAGATCCTTTATTTGATCTCCAGTATTTATTTATTTATCAGTACTGGAGAAACAAACAATATTTACAATAACTTGTCTGAAAATTTTCAGTAACTTGTCTGAACATTTTCATTAGAAAATGTTGATCGTTCACTTGGTCTTCAACTATCTCTATTGTACTCTTTCTGTGTTATAAATCACTTCCAAGTGTTGATATGTAAATTGAACAAACATAAGAATGATTTTACATAGCATATAAACAGTATATTAGAAAATACAATTTTGAGGAACCACTTCCTGTTTACCAAATTAAAGTTATACTTGCTTGACTTTTCTTCCATGCTTTCTAAAAAATAAACCAATGGATTAGTTTTCTGTTCATTATCAAATTTTAAAAATCTTTTCAAAGAACGAATGTGTCAAAGCTAAGACCTAGGGTGAATGAAGAATTTAGCCTCCTTCCATCTCAAAATTACTTAATCTGTATGTGTGTTGTCCCTATTTCCTAGCACAGATGTGTGATCCAGTGATTCAGGAGCTTCTCTTTCAGACTCAGTTGATCAATTCTCATTGTCTTTCCATCCCATGGAAGAAGCGGAAGTTCTAAACCTAAGGGTCAAGACTCAGGAAATACTCTTCAGAGTAAATCACGTTGTGTTTTCATTACCTTGAGTTCCAGGAATCATGCCTGGGAACTTACCAATCAATGCAATAGCATTATTCTCTAGCCTAATCAATGTCCATCAGAGATGATTTACTTAAGATATATTACTATGTTTCTTCATTCCTATTAAAATCCACACTCCTACAGGAAAGTTTAATCAAGGGTATTCTTACCTTAATGAATTAAATAGAATTAACCTGTCAGTAATGTTGCAAACTCAAAAGTAAAATCTGAATGGGTAGAAATTGAGATGATGAAATCCTAAATCTAGGACAGAAGTAAGTGAAGAGTCACAATGTGAGATTACACACAACCACTCCATAGTACAGGCTGCTGCTGATCTCATCAGGAGTGATGTCAGAAGAACCTGGAATGCATTTGAACATGGTCATTGTCCTTAGCCAGATTACACCTCACATTCTCTGATTGCAGAGCAATAAAACAAGCAAAAGATGCTAGTAGTAATTTTCATCTTAAATACTCTGTGTATAGAAATTTACACTTCCTCTGTCTTCCCACATCTTTCTCTGATAGTTTGAACAACATCAATAATCTTCACAATGAAAATACTTATGCACTTTTTTTCTAAATGTATTAATTGTCCTTAAACCAGTGTTGAGAAAATACCTCAAATCTTTTGGAAATCACATAGTGGCATATTTTATTTCCTCTCAAAAGTGACTTTTCAAATAAGCAGATGTGGTTGATAAAATAATAGTACCTAAGGGAATTATTTTCTGAAATGTTCAAGTCTCCATGATGTGCACTTGATTATCCATCACTGTCCTTGTAAAGGCAGACCGTTAAGGTGCATCGCCTTACCACCTATTTCCAGAAATACCATTCATATATATGGTGCACAAGGCTGTTCTGTCTCACCCTGATGAGATCTGCTCAATTTTATTTTCTACCTAAAGGAAATTTTACTTAAGATTCTATACAGGTAAATTATTTAACAACCAAGGAGAAAATATTGCAACAGAAATTATTGTACTTTTTTTTTTTACCAGAGCACACAACCTCCAGATAAAATACTTCAGTTTCAATACTTTCAAAATACACACTGCCATAAAAAACTTGAACAAATAAAATAGGAATCATTTCTCAATGTCATGTCCCAATCTTCTGCCACCACTTTTCCCATCATGAATATCTTATATTATAGTATATTAGTTGTTACCATTTATAAACCAGTGTGAACACAGTTATTAAATTATCATCATAGCTTAAATTAGGGCTAATTTATATGAGCTTATACAAATGCAGATGATGTATCCATAATTATAGTATGTAGTTTCTTTACTTGTTAATCTTTTCTGTATTAGCTCTGCTTCAAATATTAAGGACAAACTAATCATTTTATTACGTATATTGCCAATTTTCTTCTGAAAATTAAAATTATTTGCATTTTCTGTGTGTTAAGGTTTTACCTGAGTAACATGACAGGTTATAGGTTAATTAAATGTTATTATTTACATTAGTTATTATTAATCATAGCATATGCTACTTTTTCAAACTGGATTTTTTAAACATATCATTATATCCTTAACATTTCTTCCTTTTGTGGATAGTTTTTATTGTTGGGTAGTATATAATTTTACCAATATGTAATGTTTGTTTATTAGTTTACTAGTTCACTGATTGAGGGACAATTTCGTTACTGTCAGTGTTTGATGTTTATGAACAAACCTTTACTCCTACATATAGACTTTGAGGTGCTACTAATTAGGTTTATTATTTGACAATTTCATGCATATACACAACGCTTGCTGACCACTCTCAGTTGCCACCCTCTTCCTTTCCCTTAATGCATTCTCCATGCCCTCTATATTCCCTAAAATATCTGTTTCTCATGTTTTGTTTGTGATCACCTGAGTTTAATTAGGCCTACTCAATTTGCTTTGGAGCTCTCCAATGGAGCCTGGGACACAATAATTCCATACTCCTAGAATCTATGAAGCCAAAGGTAGGAAGGGCCATGGGCCTCTGAGCCTCTCACTTATGACTGCATATTGACAGAACCTGTTTAGTATGGGATCAGTGCATATATAAATGTAGTTATGAGCTCAAAATGACAGTAGTTATATTGAGCCTAGATGATGTCATATCAAAGGATACCCTAACCTTCGGCTTTTAAGTGCTTCCTGTCCCTCTTCTACAATGGTCTCTAGCCTTAAAGGTATAAACGTATTGTCTAGAGATGAGTCCAATTCCTCAGAGCAGAATTGATAAACTGTGAGGTGAAATTCTGGTTAGCTTTGGAGAAAATTTCCAGACTTCTTCCAAAGTTACTATACAGTCTTTTTGCTCTCACTAACAATTAAAGTTTTCCTGTCAGGAACTGGCATGAATTTATTCTGTCATTGTATTGGGTGTGTTGTAGTTTTATCACCGTCGTTTCTAACAGCAGTTCAAGATTCAGAAGACCATTGCACGCTTTGCTCTTGTTGTATGTTTCTTTTGGTGAACTGTATGCTAAAATCTTTTACTGCTTTTAATTGGCTTGGTGGATGTGTTTAACCAGTGCTTTTAAGTAGTTTATTCTATATTCTGGAGATAGGTCCTTTTGTGAAATGTGAGTTATGAAAATATTCTCCTGAGACATTGGCTATCTGTATGTTCATTTAACATTGTCTTTTAATGGGATATGAGTTCCGAATTTCAAAATATCTATCTTTTTTGCCTTTCATTTTTTAATGTGTAATATCTATAAATCCATGATCCCCTCCAAGCCCATCAATGGGAAATCCTATGATAACATCTAGAAATGTTATAGTTTTATATTTTCATTTTGGCTGATGAGCCAGTTTGAGTTCACCTTGTAAAAAGCATTCCAATTGTCCCAACATCCCTTCATGGGAAGACTTCTTTTTTTTTTTTTTTTTTTTTTTTACTTTTATTTCTTCCATTGAAAAAATCTGCTCTGTTTGTGGGGTCTATCTGTGAGAGCTCATTTCTGTTCTTCAATCCAGCACCCTGTTCTCTGTCATTTCCTACTGTGTACCTACTGAAAAGGTACTTTAATATCTGAAGTCAGATAGTGTCCATCTTCTGCCTTCTTGCCATTTTCTCATTGTACTTACAGTATAGCCTCTTTCTATATTAGGCTAAGATTGTGCTTGTTTTTAACCAGAAAACAACATGCTGAAATTTGAGCCTTTGTTTCTATATGCGTGTAGTTTGACATCATAGCACCCAAACAGCAACCAAAGAAACAATTTTTTAAACATCTTAGGACAAACAATATAACACTGATTACCCTGATCCTGTCCTAACCCACTTGAGTGTTATCAGACCCCTTGTGGATTCAAAAGCATTGGAATTTGTAATTTCCTTTTTTATTCTTTAATCCTTTTTTTCTTTTTTTCTTTGTAGCCTATATTTTATTTTCATTGTATGTTTTATTTATTTACATTTCAGATTCTTTAATCTTTTTCCTATAGTCCAATCTTGATCCCCCTCCAGTCTACTGCTCTCTGACTGTTCTTCATCCCATACTTCCTTTCCCCATCCCTGTCTCCAAGAAGACGTACCCACCTCCCACATCCATCCCACCAGACCTCCCCACTCCCTGAGGC